CGTTACGAGGCCAGGCGATGAAATCGGCAGGAAAGTGTGACGTCAGGACTCCTGGTGACCTCCTGGTTCTCCAAAATACTCGTGCACTGAGCACCAGGCCGAAATCAAGACATGTGACCAGCCTGAAACTGGGGCGTCAGCAGAGCCGAGAGGCGCCACTCACTGATTCACCACGAATATGATTCCAGTGGTGGCGTACGGCACGCCAGGCCTGATGAAAGAGGAAATAACAGCGCGTTTCATTACCCAGAGCACAGTTTCTGATTCTGTGGTCATCGTGTCACGCTCATCCAACGCTCACACACACACACACACACACACACTATACATTACATTTGCCAGTGCGAGATGAAGAGTCAGCGCACCTCTCTGTTGCTCTGCTGTGATAAGAAGCTGAGAACAATCTATTTTCTACCTTGCCAGGCTGAGCTGTGACAGCTGTGTGGGCGGACGCCACGAACAGGGATGTGTGTGCGCGCGTTTGTATTCATGTCTTTGTGGGGACTTGGTAGATGTCCCCACAAGACATCAATACCCAACGTGTGTGTGTGATGCAAACTAAAAAGCTTGTATTGTTTGCAGCTGCTTATTATTTAATATTCTGAGGTTGGCGTTTGGCATTTACCCCTTCTCTCTCTCTCTGTCTTGTTTTGTTTGGCACGCTCGGCATGTTTGTGTAGGCAAACACAACTAATGTGCGATTTGTTTTTTGGACAAATTGGTGTGGGTGTCACTTTGAAGGATAAAGGTGCGCAGGAGCTCAGGAGGCCTTCAGCTGAGTACACAGAGAGGCGACGGGATCATCGAGAGCCAACAGCAGTCGACCGGCGGGTCGTCGAGGACGTGAACTTTACTTTTGCTGGTGAATTAAACTGTGCTGACACGTCTGCAGGCGACTGCTTCACTAACACAAACAGCTGTCTGCAGAACGGCTGCTTTAAAGACCAAACTGAACGAATTCAGGAGAATTTGTTGGATCTAATCAGACTGCTGCGATCCTCTGAGCTGAGCTCCTTTATCAACCCGACGCTGATAAGATCAAAGCCGACTCGGCAGAGCAGGAGAAAGTCCAGAGTCAATTAGCTTAAGCAGACTAGCCTCAAACAGGCACAACAGTGCACGTTAGCGCTAATATTTAAGAATCAGAGCAAAGTAAAAGAAAAGTTTTCAAACTAAAAACAGCTTAACGTGCGAGTTACATGTAGAGATGATCAGGATCGGGAAAATCCCGTTTGTGGCTCAGAGGCAAAGATTACGTTCCAGTGCGCGCATCAGGAAAAACAAGCTTTTAATAACAGGCTGATCAGTGTGTCGGGCTGTAAACATCCTTCAGCCACTTTATTATTATAAATCAGTTTTATATTAAACAACCTTCTCCGTCAGTGGATAACTGGACGTGCGACGAGAGCGGCTCCCATCACAGCGACAGTCAGCCCACGCTGACCCTCGGAGCTGTGACGCTTTGTTTGGTGACTGAGGTTAACTCTTCCTCAAATTAAACCACGAAGAACAAAGAAATCAAAGAAACTGACGATGACGTTGGAACAAAACGTTCTTCAGGTGAAAACCAGCCGCTGATCATGGAAATACAGCAGCTGTGGGCAGTCGACAACAACTCGCAGCTGTTTCCTGTTAGCTTGTGATTTTCACAGCTGGGCCGTCATGTTTTATCAGCTTTTGAATTATTATTATTTTTGCTGCTAATCTCTGATGTTTCAGTGCATTTGAGCTCTCAGGGCCACCGTAGATTCACCAACCGAGGTCAGAGAGACGCCGCTGAGATCGCCGCGTCTTGGCACACGCTGCTGCTCACGCTCAGCGAGTGAAAACACTTTGAGTTTCAGTGAAAACAGCAAAGTGAAACATAAAAATGGCCCCCTCCCATCAGGTGTAAAAGCCTTCAGCCTGCATTCTTTCTAATGGCCAAAAGGGGGCGACTCCTCCGGTTGCAATAGAAAAACGAGCTCCATGACTGTCCATCGCTTATATACAGTTTATGCACATTGCTGGGTTCGAGATACTCACAGGATGTAGGTGATCACACCGACGCTCCTGGGCGGAGGCAGGAGAGAGAAACAGAGTTCAGCGTTTCAACATCTCGAACATTAAACACCATGAAAATCCTCGATGTATTTCACAGCTGGGATGAAGCTCTGCGTGTGTTCACTCACCACATGTCGGCCTCCAGGCCCAGAGGTTCATAGTTGACGACTTCAGGAGCTGCGAGGAAACAGAAGCTTGTTAGCATTCAGGTCGACTTCTTCTCCACACTAATTATTCTCAGAGTTTGCTGAGCGTTACTGGAGCGCATGATCGCTTTCAGCCAGGTGCGCTGATTTGTTTGTTCCTTCAGAGGTGTGATTTTCATGGCGCCCGCTAAAGCTGTGATTTCTTTTCTCTCCACTTGTCTGTAAATGTGTGAATAATCGAAGACAAATCACTAAATTCATTTCTAATCGTGCTGAAACAAAACTTCATCTGAAAGAATCCACAAAAATCAACGGGATGATTTATGGGCCAATCAAAAGCTTCCAGACTGTAAACAACACGTTTTCAGCCTTTATTAGTTTATTATTGACAATAAATCAGCGAACAGTGTTTCCCACCTGCAGAAGTGTCTTTCTATCTGTGTGGTTTTTACATGTGGGTGCAGCGCTGCGTTAAAGTTTTATTACGTCTGTGTGGAGCTGTGACTGAGAACAACTCGATGCAAATTGCAGCGATCATGTGTTAAAGGATCTAAACTACCTTAATTTCCTCCATGAGCCGTGCATCAGGGCCTCGCCTCTAACAGCCGACTGTGTTGGTAAACGAGCCAGGACAGCAGGGCGAACTACAACAACTTCCTGTTGCTTTTACAGCCCCAGCACGCCGCCGTCAGTATCACACTCTCACCTTTTCCAGCTCGCCCTGCAGTGGCCGAGCGCTGCGTTCCCGCAGCAGAGCAAAAACTGAAACTCCAGAATGCAAAATGCAAAAGCAAGACTGTGGGTCAGGGGGTTGGGAAGTGCATCTGTAACCGGAAGGTCGCCGGTTCGATCCCTCGGCTCTCTCTGTCCTGGTCGTTGTGTCCTTGGGCAAGACACTTCACCTACTGGTGATGGCCAGAGGGGCCGATGGCGCGATATGGCAGCTATATAAATGCAATCCATTATTCTTCTTCTTGGCATTTACATTTACGGCCATCTGCCATTTAATCTGCTCGCTTCATACCGGAGACGAGACGAGCAGGATTCAAGAATCCTGGATTTAAAACAAACAGCCTGCAGGAGCAGCGAGAGCAGCCGTGGAGGGAAAAGCTTTTAAACTTTGACTTTTAACTTTACTGAAATTTTAAAATGGCTTAAAACAACAACTCTGCAGAAGGACTTAATTGATTTTGAATCTTATTTTATTATATTGAGCTTTTATTCTTATTCACTGCTTCAACACTGTTTATGTTTTGCAGCTGACTCGATTCTCCAGCATCGTCTATCCCACACATCGTTTGGCTTTCTTCCACCTGATCTTTATTTACACCATTTGCCCGCTGACACCCGCTGCAGCGGGGACGTGCTCTGGTCTTGGCCTGGATCGTGCTGGTAGTGGGCACTGGCACCAGGCGGAGGGTTGGCTGCTGCCCAGAGAAGAGTAGATGAGGGCAGATGGCACTGGTGTCTCTGCGAGTGTGTGTACTGGTTTAGACATCTTTGTGGGGACCAACAGTCACTTATGAGGACAAAGTGCCCGCCCCCAGACTCAAAACGTGGTTTTAGTGTCAGGGTTACAATTAGGTTATAGTTAGGCTGAGGCATTCATTTTTCATGGTTAGGGTAAGTGGCGAGAGAAAGCATTATGTCAATGAGATGTCCTCACTAAAATATCAAAACAAGAATGTGTGTGTGTGTGTGTGCAGGCCTATTATCAGGTCTCTCTCGGTCCCTCCGGTACATTTGGCGCCCATTCTCACAATATGCAACTTCTGGGATGAAGCCAGGAGAACAGGGTGGTGCAGAGTGTGTGTGTGTGTGTGTGTGTGTGTGTGTGTGTGTGTGTGTCAGAAACACAAAGTGTGCACAGCTGTGGGACACTGACCTACAAACTCTGGAGTTCCAAAGATGTTTTTAAAATCGTTGCCAAAGTCGATCTTGTGGGCGAGTCCAAAGTCGATGATCTTGATGCGCGGGTGAGGCACCGAGCGGTTCAGCAGCATGATGTTCTC